GGTTTGAGCTTAACATCTTGATCAAACTCATCACGGTTGCGCTTTTGCTGGGCAAGCTCAATGGCCAGGTCTGCCTTCGCCCACAGCCATGCACAGGTGCGGCGGTGACTATCATGGGCGGACTCACGGGCCTTCTCAACGCGATGCTTCATTATTGGGCACTTCTCAAACTCATCCGTGAGATGATTGAAAAGAGTTCTTTCCTTGGGGAGCTCATCAAGAGGTATCGCACGGAGAATATAGTTGTACTTCTCACGGAAAGCCTCTATGTCCGCTACTGATTGGCCGGCAAGTTTCAAACCTAGAAGATTGCGTTCTCCAAGGATGCCGATCCGATCACGCTCCAGTTGAAAGTGCTTGAAGATCGAACGCAACATCACGCGCCCATTGGGCATTGTACCTGCGGTGTTCCGTTCGTGCTCCACCATGTTTTGGAACAGCAACCCAAACTTGCCTTTGCGACACGTTTTCAACAGCTTGGCGGCTATCTCACGGGTTGTGCGTGGGAAACGTTTATCTGCCCTGAGTTGTTCCTCGGATGAGGTCAGGCAATCCTGAGCCCAGAGATAGAGCTCGTCACCGGTCGTCTTTTGCAAACGTCCAATGGCCATGAGGACTTGATTCACGTATCCACGCGCCTGTCCGGCGTTCTCTGGCGGAAGCGGAAGCACTAAATCCTTAAGGTCCTTTATGCGAACCACGGTTTCCTCATACGAGGCCGGATCTGATGCGCTTGTAGCAGCATCCCCACCACTTGCATCTGCTGCTTGAGTACCTTGTCCCTGACCCCCATTCATGGAAAGGGAGGGGCAGGCGGTATCATCATGCGGGCCACCACAGACACGGCATGAAGGGGTATGACCCTCGTCACCGGATTCTGAGGATGTGTCGGAGCTTGCCTCCGAAGGTGCGAGTGGGGAGGATGGGAATTGAGCCACTTGACTTGTACTTGCACTTGTTAGCCTAAGCGTGGGGACAGCAGTTGTGTGCTGGGCAGCTACGGATGGGGGTGCCTGAGCCGATGCGATCGGGGGCGAAGCCCCTGATACCCCTACCTGGGCCTCAACTAACTTTGAAAGTTGATGGACCAGCTCAGTTAAAGAGGACATTTGTGCCTGTACGTCTACAGGTCCCCTTACATCCTGAGTCCGAGCGACATCCGGTGGTCCTTGTGGTTGTGCACGTGGATCACCATCCTGGATTTGCACACGCTTGGCATCTGACTTGATGTCGGGCTGTGGGGGAGCGAAGGATTTTGGGAAACCAACAGGGGCACGTGGCGCTACCTTAGGGTTGCTACTTGAACTTCCCGATGCGCCTAGAGCTGCATCCTTCGGGGGACACTGCTCACGTGTGGCATCACTCGGCCCTTGAACTTGGGGAGCCTGTGATCCAACCTGAAGGTCACTTCCAACGTCATTTAGCCCCGATGACCCGGGATCCGTAGGATTTTGACTTTCATGACTTTCATCCGGAGGTACCGGAACATTTTGTGCCATGGATGCGACAGCCCTTTCTAGGTCAGCAAGGCGTTGCGACAACAAAAGGTTTTCAGTCCCTAATGTATCTATCACTTTGCTTTGCTGGAGGATCTTCTGTTCCCGTGAGGAAATTTCTTGAATAGCCTCCTGTCTCAACCTGGACACTTCGGCCTCTGCGGCCGACCTTGCTTGTTGGGCTTCATGCCTAGCACGTTCAACATGGCCTACGGCTTCCTGTCTTAACAGATGGACATGGCCTTCAGCTTCCTGCCTCACCTGTTGAACATGGCCTTGGGCTTCCTGTTGAGAATGCTGTGCAGCTTGTTCAGCTAATGCTGTCTGAGCACGGGCTCGTTCGACTGCTTGCTGGGCTTGGTATGTCAGTTCCGTTGCCTGTTGTCTAAAGGTCTGCTCCCTTTGTTGCGCAACAGCGGCAACCTCCCCTAGCCTTTGGCGTGCCTTGTCCGCTGCTCGATGCTCGTGAAGGGCAACATTGGCAGCCTGATCAGCAATGAGCGAAGCTTGATGCGCACGTTGCAATGCCGATCCGGCCACGAATGCAGCGGCACTCATGTCCCTAGATGGGTCGGGCGTAGGCACTTGCGGGCTATATACAAGGGGGGTTGCAGTAGAGTCTGAATCAGGTTCCTCTACAATGGGAGTCCTACGGGGAGGAGTCGCGTTTCGGTCGCGGCTACGAACATCTCTTGATGAGGATGCCCTGGAACCTACGGGAACTACGGACATTGCGGGTACCGAAATATCACCGAGTTCAGGGTCTTCCTCATTAGATTCTCCCCCAGGGGTTGACCTTGACCTATCATCCGAAGGTGGGGAAATCCCTGATGCCATGTCGGATGCACCTTTCACACGAGGCCAGGCTCACGTATGCTGACACACCGCGCTTCAAGCTGCGGCCCTTGAAACTTATAATACAACCGGTGTTGGAAACCGGTGCACTTGACCGGTATTGGAAACCGGTGCCTTTGCTGCGCTTGAGCTGCAGCCTCCGGCAGTGCCAGGTCAGCGAAAAAGTCCGCGGCCGCCCCTTGCAGAGCGGGGGCGGTTACCAACTTCTTCAAGGTACTCTGTCTGGTCGAGTACTCTGGCAGGACGGAGGAGGCGTCGGTGTTGGTTGAGATACTCGTGGAGTTCGTCCAACGCCTCGTAGAGCGCCCGATTGGCGTCTCGCCGCTCGACACAAATGCCGAGTGCGCCTGCAATGCGGCACTCCCTCAGGGTGGCGTTGTTGTCGTCGATGATGACGCTCGCCCCCAGCTGCGCTAGAGCTGCAGCCTTGCCAGATGGACCAACCCGCTTCCAAGTGAGGACAACGTCTCCAAACGGAGGGGTGCCCAAACCGTCGATGGAGTCGTTACAAACGCGGGTGAACTGGGTGGCAAGCCGAAGGGTGCTCTCCCGTGTTTCACGGGCTTGACAGTAACTCACGATACGAAATTGGATAGGAAAATGGTTTCGGTACAGCTTTGCTATCGACCGAAATAACCAATCCTTTGGCGCACCGTCGGGCCCGATGGCAATATCGAGCGTGTTATGCCAGTCAAGGCAGGCGATGATCGGCTCCCTGGCGTCAGGTTGAGGTACGCCGAAATCGGGTGTTCCGTCACCAAAAATGCTGCTGCACTTGGGGGCTGCTTGACCGGCAATTTGGGTGCCGGGGCAGCCTTGAACCTCACCTGTGGTGGTGGTGAGGGTGGCGCCCGCTTGTAGGCTTTGGGCGGCGTCTCAGGCCGTTTTACCCCGCTAATCGATTTTGGAACCGACACTGCGCGTTGAGCTGCAGCCCTTGGCACTGGTGCTGGGGGTGCTGGTGGTGCTCTCAGCGGTGGTGGGGGTATGGCCTTTGACGCAGCGCGATCCGCAGCTGCCTGGTCAATTACGCTTTGTGGGGGCGCTTTGACCTTGGATTCCCGCTTGGTAAAAACTATCCGAGCGGTCTTTGTTGCAGGTGCTGTGGATGAGTCGCGCCCGGCAGGCGCAGGCCTCTTGATGCTGACCTGCTCAGCCTCGTATACCCTGTCCGGGTTGAAGGCCGCCAAGCCTGAGTAAACCTCACGTGCAGACCTTTCGGGAGGCGGTGAAGTACTCAGGTCAAAATGTTCGGCCCTCCCGTGTCCTCTGGGAGGGTTGGATGAGGACCCTGCCCTCGGCGGATGATGCCAATACGAGTCTGGGAGGTCGTACGGATCGTCGGAGGGTACCGGGTGTGGCGCCCGACGTGTGGGTCGTGAGCCCTCGTATCGGTGCTGGAGGATCCAGATTCCCGTGCTGTCCACCCGAGTTGTCGGGTAGGCGCAGTTGGCCGGCGCCAAGATCAGCGTCCGGCTGCTCAGGGATGCACGGGCCGGAGGTGTTGGGGAGCTGTGGCTCCTGGTCCTCGCCTCGCTGCGCTTGGAGCTGCAGCCCTGCGGGGAGTTCTGGATCGTGGGCGTCGGGTTGACGCCTTCCGCACCGGTGGAGGAGAAGGCTGTCGCCTTGTCGGTGGCGTCCTCTTCCTCCTTGATGAGGACCTCCCTGCAGCAGTGTACCTTCCCCGGCCTGCTTTCACAGGCGGAAAGGATGACGGTCGGGACGGGCTCTCAGAGCTGGTCCTTGTGGGAACCGCTGCGCTTGGAGCTGCAGCCTGATCTCCCGGCCCTGCTGCTGCCTGTGTCGGAGCTGCGCTTGTAGCTGCAGCCTTGATTGTGGACACAGTTGTGGTGGAGGATGGACTTGATGGGGTGCTTGGTTGTTGCTGAGGCTGGGCTGGTACTGGAGCTAGAGGCTGCCCTGCCGCGCCTTGAGCTGCGGCCTGTGCCCGTTGTAGGATTGGGACCGGTTGGTGTCGGCCTCGGGCGATGACGGCGTCGTAGAGGTCGGGGTAGATGTCTCGCAGATGCCGATAAGCGTTATCGGAAAAATCTGCTTGCCACGCCAGGAGGGAGCTCCGGTGCAAATCCGATGCCTCCTCCCAGGCGACCCTTGCCACCCCAATCTTGAACTCCCGCCAGGCCCACCGGGTGAGCTCGTCGAAGGCCTCGTAGTAGAGCTTGCGACGATGCGTCCACCCGCCCCTCTGACCACGGGCCGAGAAGGCCGGTGCCGGGTCCATGCACGAAGTGCGCTGACTACCGGACTGAGGGGGCCTAATCCCAAAAAGCAGTTACGGCTGATAACCACTCAACAGGGAAAGAAACACAGCGAACCAGAAACCGGGACCCTTATTAACCCCAGTCCGGTAGGCGAGCGCAAACCCTGGTTTTGATCTGATGGGCATCCTTGAGCCAAATGGTCATTGCCATTCGACAAGTCCATGCAAAGCAAAGGGGCCTCCAACATCACCCATCATCACATACATGCACACCCTTCTGGGGTACCTCTTTGGGGGTCAAGGGGTCGTGATTATTCAACTAGGATCATACATAAATGCGTCTGCATGCCGCAAGAGTTGTCCTTACTGCTTGTGTTCGTAGGGGTCGGTTGAGGGCACAGTGTCTTGCGGGCAGCTAGGCACACAGCCTCGATCTCCTTGTATCTTTGCCTGGGCCGGCACTGAGCAGTCTGGCAAGCGCTACGGGTGATGAAACATTTATATTTATGACGGCACCTTCCCGCAACAGTGATTAAAGGCCTTTCCCAATGTCGTGAGTGTAAGGGCCCTGCCCATCGACCTCAAGGCTCATCTTGCGGCCTGCGCATCAGCGACGCGGGAAGCTCAGTCTTTGCTAAGTTCTGTTCACAAAACTGCCCAAAAGAATGCCGAACAAAGCTTTTGATTGCAGCTGACTCCTGCAAAGCCAAAGCAGCTCCGGCAAGCTGAGCCGATACAAGCCACCATGTGAGTAAAGGTGCCAAGCTGCAGTACCGGGAACATAGTGGGACGCACTAAATGCTGGCATTGGGCCCAGGTCAGCCAGCAGACCTTGACTCCTAGGCATCCTTGCCTGCTCCGTCTTCAACCCGCTTTGCCTCTTAGAGGCTTAAGCGACTTGTGGCATATCACACTAAGCACTTCCAGTCTTCATGCTTGACAAGCGCCCAATAATTGCCATTCACATAATAGTCTGCATTATGTCTAAAAACCAAGAATGCAAAAGATCGTTTACTGCTTATTCACCATGCTTTTGCCCATGCAACCTGTCCGACAGGACATGCATCACCCCCCACTTTAGGACTCGCAACTGTATATTTGTCAGATTCCGCGACCCTTCCTGAGCCGAGCAAAGACAAGCATCAGACATCTGCACAGCCACGTTGCAGAGTCTTGGGCCTAGACAATAACACAAGTGCGTCACGCATTTTCCCATATTGTTCCTCGCTTTCTGAGCTAATACTTGCCAGTATTTCCTGAAAATTAGGATGCCCATGTCAGTCGTGCTCAGCATGGCCGCAGGCAACAGCTTCAGCACAGAAGCTCTGACATATCCTGAAAGCAAACATGCTGAGACCAAGTGGCACCTCTCCAGAAAACTTGAAGCCCCTGAGTAGGCGCAACTGGCGGCACAACGCAAGCACTTGTTCGTTCTTGTCATTGGGCAACGATAACAAGTCAAGAATTACCACCAGATGTTCCTCTCAATTGGGCAGTGCTGACAATCAGCCATGTCTGTCACTCGTGCAAACAATGCCTGCCGCTCGCTTGGGCGATTGAAACAATATCGAGCTGTCCGTTCCTGAAAAGGAATCAATTGTGCATAGTGTGTCGCAACAGTCGAACGATGACTCACTAGGTCTAGTGGTAGACAAAGTGCGCTTAGTGAGCAAAACAAGCCGAGAATGCACTTGACATGCTGGGTCAAATCGTTTCGGGGATAGCCCGTGTACAATAGTTTAGTGAAAATGCACAGGCCTTGGATGCGCCCCCCTTGGGTGCGCTTGTGAATTGCCAGGAGGCCACTTTTGACCATGCTTCCTTCGCCGGGGAGCCCCGGTCTGAAATCTTACGCATACCCATGACTTCCAGATTTCATGGAACGGAACTGCTCGTCGGTTCGGAACCAGATCTTCAGCTGGGGCTCTTCAGATTCTCCGCTCCAGACACAACCTCCCGGTCACCGGCAAGAATACCATGGAACCTACTGATTGGCCAGTGGATTGTTCTGTACAAGCATGACGCAAATTGTGCCTTCCGCCTGTTGCAGCTTGTTTCTGTCAGTCTTGTGCACATGTATACATGTGCATGTCAAAACATGTATCTATTAATATATTCATAGATGTATCAAGTGTGCAAGAATGTCTACATTTAATGCCTATAGCCTATATCGATATATACATAGATATACACAAAAATGCATGTACAACTAACTCCGTATCTGTGTGTAGGTGTCTCGTATGACTATATAACTTGTGCTGCGTTCCAAGGTTCAGTTTGGATGCTCCATCTGAGGGCCCATCCCGGAAAAAGCACTGCAAGAGTAGTAGTAGCAAAACTGGACTGAACAGGTTGAGCAGCCTGAAGCTGCCTTCTGCACTTGACATGCTGCCTTGCGTCCAGCCGCGGGGGAGGTGGATTGTAAAAATATGTTGTAGCTCAGCTTGCAATCGTGGCAAGCGTGAGCCATATTGAGCCATGATTTCCTGCGCCATGTTTCCCTAGGCAAATTGGGGCCTTGTGTCCGCACTGGCGGATATTGGTGGATCCAACTGGGCTTGCTTTTTGACATTCTGCAAGCCAATTGGTCGTTTAGAGACCTTCAAGGCAGCATTGTGAAGCACAGCCCCTCGGAAAGGCCACACTAGGGGGTCACTTCTGCAGACCTTAGCATCCCTCCAAGGGCCTCCCGTGATTCTGCAAATCGAATCTCCGCGCTTGAAAAATATCCATTTGGCAACACCGAAACGTGTCGGATGTCCTTAACTTCTTTGATGATGTCACCCGGCTTGATCTTGCGCAAAAAGTTGACCCCGTCGGTGACATAGCCTTGCCAGCAGCTTTGCCATGTCCGATAAACTTTGCTCGCAATCATCTTGAAACCCTTTGGCAACACAAAGTGTGGCACGTAGCCTGCAGGCAAGTAGGCGCCGTGCCAAAGGAACCATACCTTCCGTCGAACAAGTTCTTGCCCGCAGGGGTCATGTCCTCAGGCACTAGATCGGTTCATGCCAATTTGCATACCGTTGTTTCTGTGAATACATATATATATATATATAATGCATAAGTGCGCGTGTATATACATATATTATGCCAACAACTTTTGAGCGGTGACCTGCACAAGGACAGTGGCTTGCACACAAGATTCACCCTCGCTCCCCGCATGTTTTGTCTGCCAGTCGCAGAAGCACGTGCCCTTAGACACAGTCCACGGACGGGCCTGCCAAGCTTAGCCCAGCACCGCGAAGGTCGTGGAGAGCCAAACATTCGTCAGCCAGGGGCCGAAATTTCTTTCCAGCCCCTCCCCATCAGGAATTGATAGGGTGCAGCAAAAATAACAATTCTTGCAAAAGCAAAACTACCAGGCTGCGCCAAGCAGATTCGATTTAAAGCTTTAACCTGGTCTGGCTTACTTTCTCTAGGCCAGGCAGGCTTCGCCGTCGAGGCAACTCAGCAATTCCTTCTCAGGCCATCAACTTGTACGAGTCAGACCGGGCTGCCTGCTGTCCTGGCAGTCCAACGCAAAACGGGATAGCATTTGTCTCAAATAAAAGATAGTCAGCACTCACTTCAAGCTCAAAGTGCCCTATGGATATCACCACTCAATCCAAAAGAAACAAATGCCAGCAAAAGAGCTATACTTGCAAAGATACTGCAATCGACAATAAACACCGACTTTGCGCAATGGCAGCTTCCGAAAATGAGAATGTGAGGACAAGATCTAACGCAAGCCAAGCAAGGCGATCGGCTACAAATACCACCCTGTCGCACCTTGCCGGTAGCCAGCAAGGTACACCGGGACAGCCAGAGCCAGCGCCCCAAGCCAACCTGAACTTCAAAGGCCCAGTTCAACAGGCAAGCTCTACTGAAAAATGATGACTACTCACGTGCATTGACCCAACAACTCATGTATGGCGTGGTTGCCTTTTCGTTTCCAGCACCAGCTATCATTTTGGCGGCCGGCTTCGGGAGCTCACGCGTGCCGTTGACTGCACGCGTCGCGTGCACTGAGGCCGGAGCGCAGTGGCCAAGCCCTGGACCTGAAGCTCCGAGCCAGCGAGAAGTGGCCAACCCGGCAACCCGTCAAAGAGCTTTTGGGGCACTCGAGAGACTCGAGAGCTGATGCTGGCACTTTTCTAACTTAGAGCCTCGAGCAATACGGAAACAGATCAGGACGCAGAGCTTCAACAACACTCGCATGCGAGGAGTGGAGTTTTGCGCCGTCCCACCCTCAACAGGCAATGTTCTGCTGCCGAAACTGCACGGAAGGCTGACTTCATGCAATCCTTGCTAGGGTCCAACTGGCTGTTTGCCCTTTTTTGCAGCTAATGCTTGCAGTCTGTGGCATACTTCACATTTGACGGCCGAATCATCGTTCGAAACGTGCCTGCAATTCACGCAGCATTGAGCTGCAATGTCTCAAACGACCAACCAACCGATACAAATCTACTGAGTTCTGGCTGCGCCTGCCAGAGGCAAGCGACAAAACACAGTGTCGCGAAAAGAGCAATAGCCAGAACAACCAAGCAACCATAACTTCGCAGGCCCCGTTGAGGCATCACAAATTGTGTAATTGCCTGGTAGCTAGGTAACAAGTTGCAAGGTTGCTTCTCCAAGTCTCCCTCCCCTCAGAACTTTTCCTGAGTACGTCCCGTCAAAGCAATTCCGCAGTCCAAGTGTACCAGGAGCCTCAAAAACCGATGAAAATGTCATGCCTACAAAAAACACGATGTTTTTTGGGAAAACACGATGTTTTCGGGAAACACCGCGTTTTCGATTTCAAGCAGTTTCCCATACATTCCTTCAACTCGTCATCTCAACCTCAGAATCTCCCATCGCCCTCCCCTTTTGCACTCGCAACGAAATCAGCTTCGCATTCGCCACTCGTCTTTCGCAACTCCAACCTGAAAGAAGGAGGCCGGGGACCCAAATAGTCAAAAGTACCACGGTTTTATGACACTTGTCAAGCAGCAGTGCCATGATGAGGGCGTGCTGGCTTCGAACAGCGCGCAAGCTCAAGCAAAGACCGTGCTTTTGCTCACGACTTCGTTGTTTTCCAGCAACATTCTCGAATTAGCGCATTCGTGGTTGAACCCGAAAAACCCATAGAATTTCCACGCTTTGCCACGCTTTACTACGGGTTCTCCACGGTTTAGCTACGGGTTAGAAAACACGATGTTTTCCAAAAACACGATGTTTTCGGTTGGGGCTGCGGGCTTTCTACGGGTTTCTACGGGTTTTCTATGGGTTTCTACGGGTTTTCTGCGGGTTTTCTGCGGTTAGCCGCCAGGATCCCGCCCCATTTGCTAAAAAAAACTCAAAATTGATAAAAACAATCTCAAAAGTGTCACCTGGTCTTGTTTTGCACCAAAAGGAGCTTTCGGATTCCAGCACCCCCTTCAAACTGGTTCGGTATGACCTGGCGCCAGTCTTCAGGTGCCTGTTGCTGTGAAAGGTACTTCAAGACTGAAGCCAGCTGCACACCCTGGCTGTCAGGCTCATCAATGTGGTCCTTAGAATTTGAAGCATACTCAGTATAGAGCGTTGCCCTCAGTTGAAATCTTAATGGGTGATGTCTGTGTGAATCCACTCCCGACCCTTGCCTTTGACCCTTTGCTCCAAATGAGTGTTTGGCCTCAGAAGCCCATTTTTAAGGGGTTTTATCAAAAACACGATGTTTTTCCTGAAAACACGATGTTTTCAGAAAATCGAGAAAAAACACGATGTTTTAGTCAGGGTACGACATTTTTGCAGGTTCTTGAAGCCCTAGGTAAAAGTCAAAACAAGCAATGCAGGATGAGATTCCATTTGCAAGAGCTTCAAAGCCAATCAGCACAACATGTCTTCCCCCCCCCAAGTCAGCAAAGGCACATCATGTCATTGCCGTGGTGCTCAGTACCATCCTGGGAAGAAATGAGAAGGCACGTTTGGGCTTGCGCGGGATGAGGTCCCCGAAAAGCCTCTAGACATGAAATCGGTGTGCCTCATGACCCCCGGCTAACACCAAGCCCAGAGGATTGTTGTCCAGCTTCCGCTCTGCGGTTTGAGCCTTTATTGAAATCTCAAATCGTTTCTTGTCCCTGGTCGTCGGTCCTTAGACGCATCACCCAGCTGCTCCTGAGGGCAAAGTCAACTTAGGTGCAAACCCCGAGCGCAAAGAATGCCCGCTGCAAAGGGACAGCCACAACACCGCGAACTGACAAAACAGCAATACACACAATCCTAGCTACACTGGACATGCTCACACTGACCATGCTAAGGGACGTATGTTGGTTACTGGTCTCAAAATCACCAAACCCCTCGCCCAACAAAACTGTCGTGAAGCTAGCAACCCCAGTGCGCCGCAAAATGTGGCCCACTCCTTCACAGAAGCCGCCAGCAGCGAGGGTGGCTCCGGAGATTGCTTGAACCAATGGGGCCTGGCGGCTGAAATCCAACATTGCCTGCAAGCAAGCTAACAAAGCCCTGCTCTGCGGCAATCTTGCTACCTACACCTAGTGTGCGCAGCTACAAGCCTCCACCATTGCTAGCGCCGGGGCATGCCGGAACAATGACTACCATTGGGACCAATGCCAAAGTCGAAGCGGCGAGAGCCTGTAAAACTCTTGGTCGAAGCCAATCATCTCCAGCCAGAATGCAGGATATCCTATGCTTGCGACCTGAGCTCCAAGCTTAATGCAAGAGACACACACGCACACACAAACACACAGGAGCTTTGCCTGTGAAAATTGGGGCCTGCCATCCATTGATCTGATCCTGCAACTTATATCGTCACATCCAACAATTGCTCTGCAGGAGGGTAGTCGGCTTGCTGCCTCCCCCCTATGGCAGTTTGCTTGCACCGGCACAGCATATCACAACAGTTTTAGCGAGCAGCGGTAGTTGGTGTGGCCTCCGGGAAATTAAAATAGCCATCATTGTATCTGACCTCAGCACAGCGCGCGGGGTCAGCACTTTCCCCAATGCAAAATGACAGCAACTTTGGCCCGAATCAAGAGCCAAGCGGCCACAAGTTTCTCTGCCAACTGCCACCACTCCTCCGTGACGTTTCGCTGAAGACGACCTTACCATCAGTGAAATATTACGGCATCTGCAACTTACCTCGTTGACACCCCGAGGCAAGCTGCATGCAGCTCCACACATACATGCACCTCACTCCTCTCCGGCCCCTGGCTCAGCATATCCTTTGCCATCATTGGAAATGTTCAAGATTTCGCCGCCACACGGGTATAACAGTTCTGTACATGTAGTATGGCAGCATGTCCAATGACTGAGCGGACAACTGCAGGAATGCCCTTTAGTCAGAGACCAGCCAAGTGGCTTGCCAGCTCGGTAAGGTCATGTACATTGTCCTTTGCATGTGATGTAACTGCCACACACTGGATCAAATTGGGGCAGGCGTGCTCAGCAGAATTTGTCTCAACTTGGCACCGGCACCAAGTGCAAAAGCAAAGATTCCGAATGCTTCGTACCCGTCTCCACCGCTGCGACAACTGTCCGCTGCAAGGAGTCCCTCGCAGGATACACATACTGCTCCTGAGCAAACTCACCGGGCCCCACCTAATTTTGCAACGCCCCACCTAATTTTGCAATCATTCATGCTGCGAGACAACATTGAATAGTTTAGTGCTGTCTTTTGAGGCACAGGTTCAATTTATCGTGCACACACTCCAAATGAAACACGATTCCTACCGCAGCCAGGTTTCAGACATGTTCTGGTAGCAAAGGTTCATCCAATTGGCCACAAAGTCCTCAGTTCAAGCGCAAGGAAAGGCAGGGAAGCAAGGAGTTCCACCCAGCAAATCAATTATCTAGAAAGCACCCCCCCCAGTTCCATGTCTTGGTTCTACTGTTGGTTTTCCCCTTTGGGTGATGGCCTGCTGCGGGCTTGTCGTGGCAAGACACATGAGCCCACCACGCGGGCTGCAGAGTTCCAGGTTTGGACAAAAAGCCGACGGATTTCATCGAGCCAGTCCCATAAGCTTCCATATCAAACCTGAGCGACTTGACATGCGAACAGAATCGAAGGCTTCACATAAACGCTTGTTCTGCCAGACTGTGACAACAAAGGATGCCAGCATGCATGAATTCACACACGAAATCGCTCACCGTCCAAGGAAGAGTCGTTTCAATGGTTGCAGGAGCAACATCCTCCTCTACGTTGACTAGTCTTCGCATGGTTGGAAACTTAGGCTCGTCCAGGAAGCTTGCCCCCCGCGCTCAGCGAAGAAGCAAAGAACGGCACGAAAACGGAAGTTGCTGATGCATCCGGGGCAAACCAGACCTCGGCTAGGACAAAAGCGAGGCACTTCATACACTCCGCCTTGGCATAGCGAGGGACCCAAACTGTTCAACGCGTCAACTTTCAGCATCCTAAACGGGTCGTCAACTGTAAACGCGGAAACTGTTCAACGCGCATCCTGGCGGAAACCACCGAAAGCCCCGTATGGAGTGCCCCCCCAAAACTTGTGCGCATTTGACGGACATAAAATGAATCCTTATGCAGCTGCTTGCTTGAACATCCGTGGGTAATGAAGGGTTAGACAATCAACGATAAAGCATGTTCAAAAACAAAAACACCGTGAACATGTGCAAACAGTGCCAATACTTTGCGAAACAATTGCCCGAACATGTCAACCACTATTGGTTTGCCAAACAAGTCTTGAAACAATAATGTAAGCAATTAAACTTAAACAACTGCTCTTAGATAGTTGGTGCACGTCCCGTGTTGCCAAACTGTGGGCGTCGACAAAGGTAGGCAGGGGGCCACGCACGCGTCTGATTTCAATGTATATGTTTGTTCTACGTAATGTAAACGTATTATACAGTTGTATATGCATATGAGCATGTAACAGTAAGAAACGGGCTTGGAATCAGCACTTAATTCGTGCGGGTACTGAATGCGGCACGTCTGGGGCAGCCCTTCCCCCTCCTTCCTGGCAGCCAAGCAACGCGAGGTTGGGAAATGCCGGACTGGGAGATCACGGTGTAGGACGTTCGCGAGATGGATGTAGATCGGGCAAATTGCCCCGGCACCTGAAAACTCAATGGCGATCTGATATTGTTGCGGCTGCAGTGGAGGATCGCAAAGGTGAAAACATGTGAATGCGTGCCAACAGCACATACGGAATCCACCAGGATATCAACACCACAAATCCACACGGCTTACCGCAACGTAACGCCAAGCTGCCGAGTTCATTCCGCTGCCGCCTTCCATTCGAAAAGGAGTTTGCCAGGGGCCAGCCAAGCTGCCATATCGCATGTCAAATTCTGTGCCCTCATAGTGCGTGCGGAACCAGTTCATGACATCCTCAATTTTGCTGTGCAATGAGTGGTTGCAGTTGCTCTGCTGCCTCATGACAACGATAATCATGACCGTGAGTTCCCAAGTTTGATTTGCTGTCACAACTCCCAGGTTGCATTGGACAGGGCACTAGGCCGTGCCCGCAACATTCTTAGCTCTTGAAGCCATGCGTCCAGAATCGATGCTTTGCCATCCACTGGCACTGAGAAAGGAAATGAGCTCCTTGGTTGGCCCAAAGCTACGACACTACGCACGGTGCCGATGATTGCGACAAGTTTCCCCCAAACCCTCCCTCCCAACGCACCTTTGTTTCATCCATGGGGGATGCCCGACCTGGTGTGTTGGGCCTGCCCCTCCATCCATGGTCAGTGGATGGGGCAGGCCTCCAGATCGTTCCAGGCAAGGAATTCCCCCCCCTGGAACAGGAAAAGACAGGTGAGAACGGCCACATGTACAGCAGGTAGCCTGCCAGGGGGGACAAGGGGATGGTGGTGGGTACCAAAAAAAGGCCTGAGCCTAAACACATGTGCCTTTTACATGACGTTTCATGTTTCACGTCACTTCACTTAATTGTGTTTCCCCAAACCCTCCCTCCCAACACACCTTTGTTTCATTCATGAGGGATGCGCGACCTGGTGTGTTGGGCCTGCCCCTCCATCCATGGTCAGTGGATGGGGCAGGCCTCCAGATCGTTCCAGGGGAGGATTTTTTTTGCGCCCTGGAACGTTTTCCCCGAAACGGAGCCCGCTGCCACTGTACCAAATGGTGGCAGCTTCCCGACTGCTGACAAGCATCCGACCGCTTGCCAGCTTGAGAGAAACCTCTCTCCGACCCCTACCCTTTTGTTTCTTGTCCCCCGGGCCTCACTCTCATCTCTGCCTTCTTGACCTTCTTGGCCGGGTTCTTGTTGGCGTGCTCCTGGCCCTTCTTCTTCTTGTCCTTCTCCAGCCTGATCTCTGAGTCCAACTGCATGGCCGCCTCCATGATCTTCGGGATCACCTTGAAGCCCAGCTCATCCAGCTCCAACTGCACCCTCAGGTCCGGGTTGAAAAGGTGAAGTCCAAGCGTCCGCCTCTTCTTTTTTGGTCCACCCTAGCTGCAAGGTCGTGCCCAGATCCCCTAGCTGGACCGCCAGCTCCATCAGTGGAAATGCCGTGCTCATGTAGTGGTCGATGACGTGCGCGTTGACCAGGCTGTCGGTGAACCCCTGCACCACAAGCTCGCCCACCGAGTCTCTCCACTGCGACCCCGGACAGAAGATGCAGACGGCTACAGTAGTCGCGATCAGCTCCAGGCTCGCTATCACACGAAACGGCTCGCCCTTCACGTAAGCCCACGGTGCTGACCCTGTGCATCGGCTATTGATTGTAACAATTGGGCTTTATCTGAATTGAAGAGGCCTTTTTTCAATATAATATATTGATTTTCAATCTGCAATTTTCAATTAAACTTTCACATGCAAAATCAATTAAAAACAACCTTAAATTGAACACAGAAATCAATTGGGAAATCCATAGCAAACTTTTCCATCTCGGTTACATATCTTAGCCTGGCTTTTGCAGGCTGCTGGGTGAAACGTTTTTCCTTTTGCGAAGGCTTTTTCCGTTTTCGCAAAAATAGCCTGCAAATCCCTCTGAGAAAGGGAATGAAGCTCATTGCCCTTTGGCAAGGAATTGCTATCAAACCCCTTTGGGCAAGGGAGAGAGAACTTTTTCTGTTGAGCTTTTGGATGCCCTGCTTGCTGCCTTGTTGGCCAATTGGACCATCTCCTTGACCTCTGCTTTGGCAAGCTTGATGTCACTGGCAGTGTCCAGCAACAGCTGCTTCAGTGTGCTGATGCCCATGGCTGCCTCTTTTTTCAAGAGGACCTGCTTCAACTTGGCAATTCTTTTTTTCAAGCTAACCATGATTGCTTGGTACTCAGTCTTTGTGGTTTTGTCACTCTTTTTTCCCCTCAGCCTTGTATACTTTCCATGTCAGGCAACACAGAGTTGGCTTGGTCCCTTGCTTTTTTAGCCTTGCTAATGCACTCTTGCCTCCTTTGGGGGTGGTGGGTTGGGTCTTCAGGGGTCCCATCTTTGAAAGCCAGTTGCTTTGACCCTTTGCCCTTGCCTTTCCCTTCGCCGGATCCTTTTGCCAAGGATTTGCATTTGGAACCCCAGCTTTCCACATCCACAATGTGGCTTTGGAGGTCCCTGCTGAACCCCTGCCCCCATTGGCTTTCAACTTCTTGGTTGCTTTGGAACTCCTGTCCTTGCTAGCTGTTGCTTTCAGGTGGACGGTTATATCGCCTTGGTCGAAGTATTCATAGTAGCCTGCGGTCCATGGGTCACTACGCCACTTGATTGTATGTGGGCTTGCAGTTCATGATCATTGAACCTCTGCAGGATTGTCTTCTCAGATTCCCATTTTTCCCTTTTGTCAAGGGATTTGCTCTGCTTGCAGGCCTGCAGCCCCGAGATGGAGGCGTCTCGACTCGCGAGCTTGGAGGCCAGCGCTGCGGCGGTGACGACGCCCAGGAGAGCGTTGGCCACCTTGGTGTCGACCTCCAGCGGTGTGATCCTCGCCGCTATGTCTAGGGAGTGCTGGTCCACCACCGTCTTGAGGTCTGTTGCAGGGACTCCTTCATGTTCATAAACTTTGCCACATTCTCCTCCACCAGCCACACAACATTGTGTCCTTTTTCCCTTTTGGCAAGGGGGTCAAAGGCTTCCTTTTCTTCTGGGTTGTGTTCAGCCATGTCTGGTATTTGCTCCATGCTTTGCTGCTTTCCTGAGGGGTCATCATCTCTTTCAGGCTTTTGCCCCTTCCATGGCAGTCTCTGCTGTTTCAACCACCTTGTCCATTTTCTCTTGCATGGACAACTTTCCTAGCTTAGCCCAGGTTCTTTGCTTTCAGGGGGTTCGTTGTCTGATCACTCCCATCCTTGCTTGCAGAGCCCACTCCTTCTGACAAGGAATATTTACAACTTGGTTTCCCTTTTAGCAATGGCTTCTTCACCTTCTTTTTGGCTTTTGGGGCCATTGCCGAGGGAATTCTACCTGCTGAGCCAAAAAATGCTGTTGGTGATCCAAACATTGAAATCTGATGACATCTGATGAAATCTGATGAAATCTGATGAAATCTGATGCAAACATAAGATTCCATCAGATTTCATCAAAATGTGAGTGTGCTGATTTGTCCAAACACAGGGGCCTTTACTTTGCTTCCCCCTTGAAAGCAAAGGGGCAACCCAGCTCAGAAGATTGCCACATGATCAGTTGCAAACTGGATTGATTGTTTGTGGAAATGTGCTGATGGACAATGAGGCCAGTTGGTTGCAGTAATGTGCATTTGGCAAAAAGGCAGGGGCCTTACCTTGTTTCTTCTCTTGAAATCAAAGGGGCAACTCAGAAGATTGCCACATACAAACTGGATTGATTGTTTGTGGAAATGCGCTGATGGACAATGAGGAAAGTTGGTTGCAGTAATGTGCCTTTGGCAAAAAGGAGGGGCCTTCAGTAAATGACACAATAGTGGTTGCCCTTGGAATAGATATTTGCTTCGATGAAATATTCAGTCCATGTGGCCACCAAAAGCTTGATGGTCATGTGTTGGAACGCTACTGGGTCTTCATGGGGTGCCATTTAAGAGCAATCTCATGATTCGTTTATCAGTGCTTTCCACCCTACCCCCCATTGCTGCAGCTCTTTTTTTCTCTTGATGCAAAAGTCTCTTGACCCATTTTGGCCAAGGGATGCTGCTGCCACCACCTTTTTGACAAAGGTTTTTTGGCCAGTTATGCCCTTTTCACAAGGGAGTGCTGTCAGCCCACACAGCTCCTTTTAGCAAGGAGATGCTGCCAGCTTTTTCCTTTTGACAAGGGTATTTGGAAATGCTGCTATCCTGCCATTCTTTGCCAAGGAAAGATTGGCGCACAAAAGCTTTTCCCCTGCAAGGAGATGCTGCCAGCTTTGCCCTTTTGACAAGGGGATTTGGCATTGCTGCCAGCCTGCCCCGCTGTGCAAACCTCCCAGGTCCTCCGGACGCTCTCCTAAGAAGTAAGGCCTGCGAGCGATCAGGTCGCACCGTGCAGTGCCCAGCAACATCAGGATGTCGATGAACAATACGATCATGATGTTACCTTCATCCGCTCGCTTCTGCAACTTCTCGGAGAGGTACAGGTAGCCAAGGCCTTGCCTCGTCTCGCACTGGCTTGGGGCCGAAATGGTTGGCCCAGGTCACCCTAGACCACGTGCCGCACGGCGGGGTAACAATGATCACCGCGTACTTGCCCGCCTTGATTTGCTTGAGAATGCCCCCGCGCTTGGCCTCGTCCTTCAGGTCGTGCTCCGGATTCCGGAGAATGTCCCATTCCTTCAGCAGCACCTCATAGCCTGCCTTCGAAGCCATCCTCTGAAGTTGGCTGCCCGTGGATGACTTCCTTTCTTCGCCGCTGAAGAGGCACAACACGTTGAAGATGCGCCCCGGCCCCTCTTTTTCAGCGCGTTGTCTCGTTCTTCCCCCCTTCGTTGGGGTTGGGAACAAATGCTGTGGGTGAGACCCCAAGCACTTTCGGCAGCAGTGAACACGACTGCATGGCCCCCGGCACCTCTCCTGCGGGTTGTTGAACTTGTAGCAGATCTGCCTACCGTCAGGCGTGGTGCTGTGCCATGCTCCGTCCTGGGAATTGCCGCCCTTTGACTTCCCGCTATACCCTTTCCCTTGGGCTTCCCCCTCCTCTTTCGGCTCCTTGATCTGCTCTTTGTGGCCACCCAGCTGTTGCATGCCAGCGGAGTGGTCAGGAAGCGCTCTTTCACAAGGGTGTCAACCATGGCCTCTTCCAGCGAGTCCACCCAGCTATGCCCCTTGTTGACCTTCTTGATGGCGGCCTTACGCACCTGGTACTCGCAGCGGCTGTGCCATGCTGCGGCCCTTGTCATCCTTAGCCCTCAGGCCGAAGACATGCTCCCCCAGGAGGCGGTTGGCGTAGCGGCCGAGGATGTTGGGTGTGATCCGCTGAAAGGCCGCCTTGTTCGGGCAGCGGAAAGCGCACATCAAGATGGCGTTGGCCACCAGGTCCAACCGCACCATCAACTCCTCCGGCCCTGAGGGCTGGGTGCTCTGCACAGCCCCTGCCCGTGCTGTGGTCGATGACCGCCCCGACCGGTGCCACATCTGCTCCCTGCTGATGGACTCCGTGAGGCGCATGAAGCGCCACTCGCCCTGCTCGATCTGATCGAACAGGTTCTCGAGCGTGCTAGGTGCCGGCGTGACCCGGTCCTCCATCGTCCTTGTACTTCGTCCTCAGCGCCGCATGCTCCGTCCTTGAAACCACCCTGGGCATGCTGGACACTGTGGCGCACCTTCGCAGCCTCCCATGCATCGACCACCGCCGTGATGCTCACATCTCCCCCGGCTGCTGCGGGATCGATGTTGAGTGTCCTCCGGCAGAAGTCCCGAACGCCGCCCTGGTCGTCCGCCAGCACCGCGAACCTACCCACGGCCCTCACCCGTGCTGCTGCCAGAGCCACCGGCACCTCCTAGCAGGCCACCAAAGTCGGGATCCAAATTTCCCGATAGCCGCCCGCTGCGCCGCACCAGCACAACACCAGCCATGACCAGACGGCCTTACCAGGCTCTAGCCGAAAGGTAGCAGCATCCGAGCTGATACCCGACGATCCAGTGGCTCCTCCCTTGTCAAAGCCCCATCAAGAACCGATCCTGCATACAGCCTTACCGCTGCATGCTTCAAGCCCGCCGACCTGACCCCAATGCCGCATGACTGCTTGCAAACCCTTCATGCGATTGCAAATGAGATTGAACCTCAACCTCATTCGTTCCTGCCTGCCTTCAACCAACAAGCTCCGCGCCTATCCTTTTCCGGGCGATCCAAGTGAAACAGGTCCAGGGACTCCGTGGAGGCCAAGACCGAGGAAGACACCTTGCTGTCCTCCGTGGGCCCCGACTCATCACCAGCCTCAACCCCTCGAGGGAAGCATTCCTTGCACACCCGGTGGCACGCGCCCTCCTCCTCGAACCGCCGCTTGTCGTGAACCAGGCGGACCCGATGACACTCTCCCCCACGGTGGGGTGTCCTCCTCTGCGACCTACCCACCGGCTGCCCTTCTAGCCCTCCGGAGTCAGATCCGGCTTGCTGGAGCACCTCGACCACCTCCAGCGGGTCTTTCTCCGCAGGCCTCCAGCTGTCCTTCCCGAGTCCCTGGAAGCTGGTTAGCCTCAACTTCTGGCCCTCTATGTTGTTGGGGTCCAATTCGTAATTAGGTTGCCAGCTTCTCCACGACCTTCTCCATAATGGACTCCTCGTTCAGCTTGTCGGGACCTCCCAGGTTGCTCCAGATCTCCTTGGCCATCATCCCTTGCGCCTGCTCCACATTGCCCCGAATGGACCTGACGTAGGCTTTGTCCGTAGATGGCTGCCATCTGGTCGCCTCCCAGCAAAGCCGCCCCAGAAAGAAGTCCCTGTTGAAGCCGGTCCTCGCTCATGACCTTCCACAGCCGATAGCCCACTCCAAGCCACCGGGGCTCCTCCAACCATGCGTCCACCGAGATGAACACTTGCTGGACCTCCACCTTCTTGCCCGCCCCCGTGGTCTTGGTCCTCTCCAGAACTCCTCTAAGTCCTCGTCCGCTCATCTCCAACTTGCCGAAGGGCATCCTGGGTGTCCGAGAAGCGCAACGCTCCCCAGAGCTTTATCAGGCGAAACCATGCGTAGGTCCTGGGGTACCTAAGCACCCCCTCCGTCATCACGTATCTCTCCATGACCATGATCATCTCCACCGGAATCTGAACCGCCTGGCGCCGGCCCCGCAGGTCCAGACTCCCCAGCTCCAGGTTGACCTCCTCCAAGGCGTTCTGCAATGCAGGGTGCTTGCACAGCCTGTCCTTCTCCTGCACCTCCCCGGCCACCTTCATCAAGCTGATGCGGATGCTCTTGCCGCAGGGCTCAGCCGCCCTGTGCATGAGGTGCTCTATGAACTGCTCTGCGGCCACGGCATGTTGTAGGCGCTGCACAGCCAGGTTGCCACATGCCGCCAAGTCTTGACGTGCCTCCGCAAGGTGGTGGACCTTCTTCCCTTTCCGATCTGTTGCCACGCATTCCCATCAGGGTCCGCATTCCATCCTACCGAAGCTGGCAGCTCCGACTCCACGATGACCCTCTTGAGCATCACCGTCCACCTTGTTCTCTCCGACCTCTCCGCCCGGTCCCGTAGATCCAGGTCCGGCCCACCAGCCTGCTGAGCCGGCAAGGCCAGCGCGCCACGGGAGCCTTGCCCTTCCTGCAAGGATGCGGCTCCGACCTCGGTCATCACCCCAGGCCGGAATGTCCTGGCCCGCGTACCTGCCGCCACCCAGTCCAGGCCACCTGCGCGTCCTTCTACACTCCATTGGGTCCTGCCCGTGCTGGTGCACTCCTGGACGTCTCCAGCTCCTCCTCCGTGGCCTCCCTGTCCACGCCTTCTCCAGGATCTCCCGGAGGCTCCCCCGCGGGCCGTCCAAGGTTCCAAGCCTGGCCGTGGTCCAGCCGCACGCCGCCAATCTGGACCACGGCTCAGGCCACTCCATCGCCGCGAGAGTGCCCCCCTCTACACAAAAAAGGCCTGAGCCTAAACACATGTGCCGTTTACATGACGTTTCATGAGTAGCAAGCAACCCATTTTCACGAAAACCATCTGAAAGCTGGAACGTTTTCTGAGCTAAGTGCGGCTTCAAGGCTCAAATCTGGAGTTGCCTCAAGCCCTGCACTGGGCGCAGCCTTGCGCAGGACTCCCCACATACCTGGGCTGGCCACAGGCGAAACTTAACAAAGCAGCATGAAAGTTTGATGAAACTACTGGTACTAAAGAAACAGCAAGGCTTGAAGCGAATAATGCGCTTAGCACGCGTGTTCACATTCCAGAACATAGTGGAGCCATCGCAACACATTGTAGCTTTTTTAGGGGGCTCCTTGCACCAACCCAATACCAAAGTCTAAATGCATACTTACCTCTTACTAATTTACATTTATGTCTTGATCTTGAATTGCTTCTAAGTTTAAACTGCGCCCTTTACTTTTGAACTGCAAACCAAAACAAACAAAACACCTTGAACGGTTTTATCTAGCGGTTTTATCTAAATTCGTTCCTTGGAAAATTGCGGTTTTGAGGTTTTTCTTGTCCGGGAAGGGGGTGGCATTTGGGTCGACCCCAAAGAACCCTTTTGTCCCCCGGAGAGCATTTATCATTGGGGAGGGGTTCCCGCGTTTATTGTTGGGGGGAGCGGATTGTTGTATGCGTGCATTTTCCATACCATCAAGAATTCCCAGGCGGTGGAAACCGCAATGGCAGCAAAGGAGCGTATGGTAGAATACATCGGAATCGGCGCCTGCCCAGGGAAGTAGCCTCCGCGCTTCCAATCAGGTCTTCACTGCAAATCGACTCGAAAGACCCTGCACAGAACACCTGCCGCCTGAGCCTCCATGTCTTGCTGAGGCGCTAAACGTCGCCATGTCAGGCTGGACTGCCTTTTGCCAGTCCAAACGGCCCTTGCCATCCCAAAGCTTGGCCTCCTGTCATTGCCGTGCGAGGGGAAACATGATCTGAATAGCCAGCTCAATTAACGTGCAACTTGGACTACTGAAGCATGCCAATCAAAAGCAACCGTCGCAACGCACAGTGCATGAAGCTGCCAGGTTTTCCGTCACACGTAGTGCAGGACACAACTAGGACAGCCATCGGTCCAAAGGGCCAAGGCGACCCTAATTCATCTGCCTAGGGGCCTAGGGCCCACTGTTGCTGCGATGTGTACCCACTTTTTGTTTTTTTGCTGCTCCAAACACCTTGCCCCATCCCTGCTTGTATATTCCCCTGACCTTATCCACCCCTGGCCGCCGTCAGTTTCAAAGGAACCTGCGCAGGTTGAGTCCTGAAGCAGGTCCAACAAGCCTGGATGCGCCATGAAGTTCTCCGTGTCATCGACATCCACTTCACGAATGATGTTGCCTGCAAGCTGACATACGCATACTTCAACGATCCTCCACAAAGGACTCTGAAGCTGACATATGACGCTTAAGACTCAATTAGGGCTTATTTGCGTGGCAAAATCGTTGATACTTAGAGAGCATTTTTTCCCCTAGGTCTTGGCCTGCCCGCCCAATGCACTGCGTAGCCATCCAAACCAATTTCGTGCTTGTCGGTGGCCTACCCTCGACACATCAAACATATCCACCAACAGCACATGATGAACTCTGGGCTTGCTCCCAGTTGGTAAACTCATCCCCGGAGAGCTTGATGCACAGCAAACACCGGGAAACGTGTCCGGCTCGCCGAGCGGCTATTGGCGATCACTGCTACATGTCCGCGAGGAACACGCTGGGCCACCCACACGGCTCCACGCTGTCCAGCCCAGGCGGCTTTGGTATCATTGCTTGGCACGCCTCATGGAAAGGGAACGGATTTTGGAATAGTCGCGAGTCGCAAGCCATCATTGCAATCAAAAACCAAATGCTCTAGACACTCATCCAAGCCCTTGCTGCTCCCTCCGTCCCTGGATGGAGAGCATTGGCTGAACATATTCCGTACCTTTCATTTAACCAACCACCCAAGCTGGAATGGCCACAATCTTGATACCTCGGCACCGGCCTCCGCAAATGTGAAAGACCCAGGCTTCACCACTGCGATCCACCAGCGTCACCGCCTCGCCAGCGCCGCCCATGCCCGGATCCTCCCCGTAGAAGCCATACTTGCTACCCAGCTCACCCATAGTCCTGATCCTCGGCGCGGATTTCAATCCCATACTAGCCACTGAAGGAACATGGCCACCCGCGTGCTCCCCAAGGCAACTGCTGAATGACTTACGGCCTTGTAAGAGCTCATGCTGTCGGTGACTCATTCCAAATCAGAAGGGGGTTGGATTCCGCACATGCCGAATCTCGTTCACCTGTGCGATACATATTGATCAAATGATGTCTGTGCCTGGATTGTGCGCAATCTTCAGCGCCAGGCTATTGAGCTTCCCTCCTGTGTCACGTGATGATGTGCCTCTTGTTTGTCACGCGTGCTGACTACGCAAGTTCCTTCATGCGCCAAATGAAGGCCTTACAAAGGCTTTTGGATGCATGTCTGTCCCATGCAGAATGTCAAACTTGCAGGGCCATAGTGATTGAAGTCTAAATCGGTTCGCACAAACGCCTAATCTCACAGTGCCTTCTCGAGACAAACCTGCCAACAAAGATTTGTTCAAAATGCTTCAGCATCGCATTCTCACCTTACCAAGTCCTCACGTAAAGGAGGCCGTTCTTGCTGACGTTAACAATGCAAGCACTGGCACCGCCTCAAATCAGTTGTGTTGCCCGCTGCGGCACAAGAGTCGCACAGCGGGCAGATTGGCATCTCTCCATTGCAATGGCCATCAGGTTGCCGATGGAGAACAACGCATCGCCACCATCTGCAATCCCTAGCCGTACCCGCAATAACAAGAAGCAATCCTCTGTCTCAGCAACTGCAGAACATTCAACATTTATTCGGCAAAACATGCCAAATTTCAACGTCCATGTGACGTCTTTTTTTTCTGGTGCGCGCAGCATGGCAAGACATAGGGCAAGGAATGCGGCTCTAAGAAGCTGAAGTGTCTAAGAGTAAGTCGATGTTGAAACGGCTGAATTTGTATGGCCACAGTCCTCGATGTTGATGGCAGGTAAGTATTTGTACCGATGCGCGGGTCTTGCAATCCTGCTGTATCTGAAGGGTAAATAAGGGCAACACTGATTGGCTGTATGTCTGAGCATGCTCTTGAAACGCAGAGCTGATAAAGAGAACCGCCGCAGGAGAAGGCGAGAGGGGGCGGGGGGCTAGACGGCACGCGGTTACACACCGTCCGCGCATTCGTGCTTGGCTTACACTAAATAGTGTCCATACACAATGATGCTACAATGACCATGTCTTGAAATCTCAGAACCTTAGCATACAACGTGTCTAACATTGGACGCAAGTCCTTTCTGGTTGCACTCAAAGTTTGAGCTGGCTAAACACACAAACAATGAGAGAAAGAGGCAAAGAAAGGAAAAGGGAGGAAAAGAGAGGAAGAGAGAGGAAAAGAGAGACAGACAGAAAAGGAGCAAACGAAAACAGAGAGACAGATCAAACAAAACATGAAGAAAAAGAGAAAGAAACAGACAGAGAAAAGGAAAAAAGGAATAAGAGAGAAAGAACAAGAGACAGAAAAAAAGAAAGAGAACGCAAGGGAGAAAGTGAAGGAGAAGGAGAAATAAGAAGAGAAAGAGAAAAAGACGGAAAAAGAGAGCAAGAGAGAACAAAGACGAGGACAGGAAGAGTAAGAGGAAGTGAAAGAGGAAAAGCAAGATAAAGAAAGATAATGAAAACGAGAAAAAGGAGAAGGAGAAGGAAAAGGAGGAAAAGAAAGAGAAAGAGGAAGAAGAAGGAAAGGAATAATAACACCAAGATAAAGAGAACATTGCGCACATGTACAAGCGCCGGCTAATGCAAATGGTCCCCGATTGCGACTGCCCAGCTTTAGGAAGTGCATCACATTCATGAGATCCGGCCTTTGCCGACCAGGTAGGCGGCACACGTTGACTCACCCATGCCGAGGCCATGCTCATTCATGAAGCCGTAGCTCCCCTCCCACATCGCATAGGTATGCTTGACCTGGCAAACAAGCAATGCCGAGTTAAGCATTCTTTGACAGTGTGGAAATGCATCATCCTTTCTGTCTGCCAGAGGCCTGCCACAGCAATGGTGCGAAAGGCAACAAATGAAGCATTGCTTGTGACTTCTGCCATCTACGTGCATCCCCAAAGTTGGCAAGGAATATCCTGTAAGCATTGCAGGCGCATGTCTACAACCAACGCCAGCCACGTATCCTGTCCGGCCTGCGGGATGCGGCCAAGCACGGCAGAGGAATCAATGCCTGCTGCGGCATGGTACTGGCTCGAACCTGGCGAGTGGCAAAATAGGCCCCTGAGGCAGTGCTTGCGCCCGAATGGGCGAGCCCTGGATCATATCGGAAAACAGCTGAACATTCTATGCTTTCCATTTGGCCTGCCTGGTGCACCTGCCATTCGGTCCCCACATGCGTCCCACAACCGTGTCAAACCTTGAGAGGGGGACAAGCTGTGATTGGGAATCTTCTCGGTACGTAAGTTGAGGCTCTGGCAGTGACTCCGCGCTTTTTTGACACACCCTGAGGCATGCACGTGATGGATCCACGATTCTGGGATATTGACTCCAAACGGCATCGTAGATGACCCTCTCCTCACATGCACCATTTACACAAAACAGCTCACTATCCGTCAACCTCTTTCTTGTGTGCCCAGCAGCGGTCAAGCGATGCTGTTGCTGGAAGGACATCTGAGGTCACGCAAAACCTCTTATTGAACCGGATTCGGATGATCCTGCTTTCAAACAAAGTTTGACACAAACATTCCTCGTTTTACACACCAGCTGCCTATCAATGTTATCGTGTTGATCTTCTAGTTCACAAGACAAACTTAATTTCTGCTAATTGTTGCGCAATTTCTCACAAGTGAAAACAAAGCGCATTTACACGTTGTCCTTTCCAATGGGCCGGAAAATTTCACGCCACCTAATTTTGGAAACACACATTCTCGCTTTCGCAGCCGCTCTCGTTGGCAGCAGCCGTAGATTGCTTTGTTGCGTAAACTTTGTCTTTGCTTTGTTGTTTATGAGTTTTCAGCGGGAGCGATCCCGGCTTCTTGCAGCACGTGACTCCATGTCGACAAAACAAAGCCTATTGCTTAATGCCAGGAGGTTTACTCATTTACCGTTGTGAAACATTGCTGTGCGTGAGAAGCATTGCGAGAATATCTCGCTCGTTTGTGTTCATGATAACTGTCTCTGCGGCTGCACCCAAAGATGATCGCGATTCTTCTCATGTCACATTGCGGCGTTTCCGTTTGCCCTTGTTGAATGCCAAGGTACGGATCCAGCAGGGTGGTCCTTGGCCTAAGTGTCGCAGGAAGCTTCGGCTCCAAAGCTCGTGACGCACTCCGGGTTCGTTGCTCGTGTGAGCGTGTCACCATGCCGTCTCTACCAATCGCATGTCCATCAAGAGTGAAACTTCCCTTTTCTTGTGGACATCTGACCTGCTGCCAGGCAACAGGAACATAGACCATGCGCCAGTCGCAGTCCTCGGTATAGTGGAAAGCTTGTCTGTAAAAGCATTAACCTACTCCCATTTCCAATATTTAGCCAACCCTTGTGTATTATGTCACCTCCAAAAACAACACGGGTGCGGATTTATTTTGGGAATTTGTTTTTCGGATTTGTTTTTCGGATATGTTCCCTTGTTTTGTTCTTTTTTCTTGTTTCCCCGTTTTTCGTCCGGGCCATCCCCAGCATCGTTTTCAACATCCCCCGCATGTGCGACCAACATCCCTAGCGGTATCAAAATCGAACAAGTAGCTGGCGGGTTGACGGGGTCAAAAAAAGATGATTAAAATTGGAGGGCATTTCAATCCCTATTAAAAAATACTAAAAAGTAGCGGGGGGGCTGGGGGGGCCGGCAGCCCCCCCCATGATGTTCGCAGAAGTGATGATTCGAATAGCTCTGCAAAAAGTCTAAAAAGTAGCGAGGGGGTTGGGGGGGGGCGGAAGCCCCCCCATGATGTTCGAAGAAGTGATGATTCAAGTAGGGGTGCAATGATTCAAGAACGGGTGCGATAGAATGTAAAAAGCAGCAGGAGGTTGGCGGGGGTGGCTTCCCTATGATGTTCGAAGAAGTGCATACATACGGACATACATGGATTACACACATTACCTAAAATATCGTATTTTGCAGCATGTTCTCGCGAAATTGGACGCTCGAAAAAGTGATGATTCAAATAGGGGTGCAATTCAATCTCTGCAAGAAATCTAAAAAGTAGCGGGGGGGTTGGGGGGGCGGCAGCCCCCCCATGATGTTTGAAGAGGGTGCAATTACTCTGCAAACAATCCAAACAGTAGTGGGTGGGTTGGGGGGGGGAAGCCCCCCCCATGATGTTCGAAGAAGTGATGATTCAAATAGGGCGGAACTGGTGATGCTGACGATACGGGAAGCCAAATCCAAAAACCAATGAAAGGGTGCAAAAGCCAAAAAGCCCAGAGAGGAACTGTGAAAGCAGAGGATGCGAAAAGCCAAAGCCGCCAAAAGCCGCATAAACGCAAAAGCCAAACCGCCACCTGCCGAAGAGGAACTGGGAATGCAGAGGATGCGAGAAGCCAAAGCCAAAAAGCCACCAAAAGCCGCATAAACCAACAAAAAGCCGAGAAGCCCAGAAGCCGAAAAGCCGAAAAGTCAAGAAGCCAAAAAGCCAAGAAGCGAGAAAAAAAAAACGAAGAAAAAAACATAAAATAAATACCCCTCCAAACAAAACTCCGATTAGCGCTAACCTTCCCCGCCCCTCAGAACGTCAAAAAACACGATGTAACTCTAAATTAACAATTACAAAGCAATTGCGAACACAGCTTCCAATATTGATTCATTTCAGAGCTCAAGGATTGCAGAACACACCTCGAAAAATAAGCTATCCAGAAGCAGCAAATCTATTCCTACAGCATGATTTCAACAAATCCCGGATTCACAAGATCACAAAAGGGTAACCCCCCGCCGGTTTAAGGCCAGCCCCTGCCCCCAATAACACAACACACAGCAGTGGAAAAATCCGCCGACCTCTTTGCAGGGGAGCGCCTGAGAAGCGTGTTCGCGCTGACGTTCGTGACTTAGCAGGTATCAGTTGCTTCGCCGCCTTTCCGGCTGGATGCGCCTTCCCTAAGGTTTTGACGCGGTAGGATTCCGAAGCGGTACTGCCTTTTGGTTCGGTGCCACTGTGAGGATATCGGCAGGTTTTGGTCTGGATATCGGCTGGTTCGTCATGCTGCGCCAGGGTGATTGGGCTCAGTCGCCCTGTTTTGGGTCCTGTTTTGGGCGTGCTGCGGTTGCCTGCGATGCGGTTTTTGGCCCCAAAACGTCACATCCGAACTCAACAACGAAAAAAGAGAGTGTGAAATCGCTGCCAAAACAGCCGCCTGCGCGCAGCGCCCAAACACCCTGGCACGGCAACCCAAGAACCGGTTGTTTGGTCTCGGTTTTGGCTGGGGTCCGCCACGAGGTGCCGGGGCTTTTGTGAAGCCCACGCTCCAACAAGCCCCCGCAAAATGAGATGCGCGCGCTGGGCGGGGTGCGGGGATGGTCACGGGTTTGACTTGGGAGCTGGTATGGCACTTTTTACAGCGCAGGATTTGCGACTTGCTCATCGCATCATCCATATCTACGTCGCCAACCCATTGGTGTCCCCTTAGCCCCTCCCACAACGAGAAGAGCCAACTGCCTATGCCGTTGTTTGATACATGCTGGCAACTATCCTGCCACCCGCCGTGGTGCCGGACGCAGCTAAGCATGCGGCGCCACAGATATACACGCTGAATTTTGAACTTTATTCTGAATCTGGACCAGACTGGCCAATACTGAAACATGCCAAAATACCGCTGCTTCGCTGTGAAGAGGTCGGCGGCAGGGGCGGCAGCCCCTGAAGCACAATTTCAATTTACTTTCCTATTGCACGCCTGTTGGCAAAGACAGGACTCAAGAGGATCAAAATTAGGCGGGTCCTCGTGGGGGGGCTACTGAGCCCAGCTTGAATATTTACATGATATTTACATGAAGAAGCTGCCCTGTCCGCAAGAGTTCTGCTTCTGCAACTTTTAAGGCATGCTCTACTGCGTAGTGCGGAACAAGACTCTTGACAGTCGTTGGCATGCGAGGTGACGGAAGATCCATCCACCATGGCACCACCATCCACGATAATGCCTCGAATCCAACGCAAATCAGGTCCCTCCAGGCGCAGCACCCATAAAAGTGCAGACTGAGCATGTCCGTGCTTAAAAGGCCTGGCTCGAATTTGTTGATGCTGTTGCTTCCGCTAGCGTTGCTCTCGCTGCTGATGTTGCCGTTCAGTTGTTATTTTTGCTGCTGCTGTTGCTGTTGTGGCCGTTGTTGTTGCTTTGCTGCTGCTGCTGCTGCTGCTGTTGTTGTTGTTGTTGTTGTTGTTGTTGTTGTTGTTGTTGCTGCTGCTGTTGTTACTGTTGCTGTTGCTGTTGCTGTTGCCGTTGCTGTCGTCGTCGCTGTC